ATTATATCCAAAGTTCTGGCTGAAGTTATGGAATAGTGCTGGCCGAAATTAAGCGAATTCATACTGCATCTTATTGCGTTATAGTCACATGATATCATTTTGATGTTGGAACATCCTCACATAGTTGCTTCCCTCTCAATTGTCATTTCTTAATTGCCGGATGAGGCACGAAGTGCTGAATTTGCAATCCATCTATTTGCTAAAAATGTGTTGCAATCTATTCACCTACTTTTTGATTGCTAGTGAGGCACATGTGAAGTGTTAATGTTGTGCTATTCTTGCAATTCCAGCTTTTATAGCCTGTTTGATTGCTGGGGATGAGGCACGAAGTGCAGAATTGGTTCAGAATTTACATTTTTCATACCCTTTTTTTGTGTATTCTTCTGAGCCTCTTCGCCTTTCCATCCCCTTTCCTGCCTATCGTCGGTAGTACCCAAAAGCATAATTCTTATTTACTTTCTATATAATTCTACCTTTGAGTACTACCAAATTTATACCCTGTTTTTCGCTCCTGCTTTTCTAGAACTCTTTCTCCTATAGTTGCTACTTCTGGGGTTCCCCTATACCTGATTACTTTGGGCTATTATGATATCGATTACTTTTGGATACTACCACTGATCCAATACTTTGCCAGCAAGCGTATTCGCTCAAATTTACTATTTTGAAAATTTAGTATTTTCTATATAATTTTATATTAACTTCCTCCACATACCTATCATGCTACTTGCACAAAAAAATTTTGAACCCAACCCTATAGAAATAAATGAAGCAATTAGACTCTTTTCAGGTATAGCAGACCTTGATTTCAAGCTGGGCTATATTGATTATGTGTATTTCCAATATTTGTCTAATAGTCAAGATGCTATCGCTCTTCTAGATGCCTATCATCCTGAAGAGATTTTTGATAAATATATTATTTGGGTGGCAGATAAGGGCTTTACAGTTGTTGATCATCCATCTGAAGTTTATGGGATTCCCGATTCTCATAAATGTATCAATGGAAACCTGCCTCTTCATCTTGTTCTGGATATTAATGTGAGGCAGAAACCCGATCCCACAAATCCTGAACTTCCCTCTTTAGATAGATATAAAATTTCTCGTAATGATTTATTATCCAGAATCTTAATTGCCTGCGCTGATATTTTATACTCTGATTTAAAACATCTCATAACTTTAAATGCTTTCGCTTTAGCTAGTTCATCTAATGATGATAAATGCAGTTGGCATATTATATGTTCTGATGCTTACTTTATTGACTATAGAGATCTCAGAGGTTTTGTAAAAAAAGTTGCAGATAGGGTTGGAAAACCATATTCTGAATTTATCGATCTCACGCTTTACAAATCATGTTTTAGTCTTCGACTTCTTGGATCAGCAAAAGGAGATAGAATCAAAAGACCTGCAATTTCTTCAATTAAGAAAGGATATCGCAATCTAGAGGATTATTTGGTTTAACCCAAATTTTATTGTTCTGAAATCTGGCTATGAACCTTTTCTTCTGAGAAGTTGGAAAAGGAGGAGATATTCCAGCATATCGAAGATGAAACTGCCTTAAGTAAAGGAGCTAACTTAGTTATTGCAAAATATGAATGGCTTGAGTTTGGTAACATTAGAAAGGGTTTCATCAACTTTTAAGCCCAGTTATTAAAAGCATACTCTATTTGCAATATTAGTCACGAAAAAGATCAGTTGTATGGATTTCTTCGAAGTAATGGGTACTTCATACTTAAATGCTACCGGTAAAAACAATATAAACCAGATCATAAGGGATTAGTATTTGGGAAAGCATCAGATATAATCAAGCTAAAAGAAAGACCTAAATGAGGATTAAATGACAGATTAATTAATATTGTAAAAAATCCACGTTTACTCCCTGAATTGTCTGGAAAAAATATCAATGTGAAAGAGATGGAAGAGGCTCCAGAAGCTTATCCAGACTTCTTAAGTTCTATATGTAGTACGACTCTTATTCGTTCACCTGTAGGTACTGGTAAAACAAAAGCCTTAAGAGAAATTCTCAAATCTTTAGCTGAGAATAGAGAAGATTTACCTTGTTTAGCTGGATTTCATATCGCAAAACTCTTAGCAATGAGACTAAAGCTAAAGTTGAAATATTACAGAGTTTGGGACTTCGCGTATGCCAATATCAAGAAGTTGAAGGTAGTTTAGCTATAAGTGATTGGGATGTTATTATCATTCAGGTTGAAAGTACACATCGTATTAAGCTTCACAGAAGGCGTTCATATGTAGTTATTTTAGATGAAGTCAATGCGATTATGCGCCAAATATCCAGTGGAATTCATGCACGAGAATCTGAAAATGCTTTGCGAGATTTGTTAAAGTTAGCTATCCATGTTGTCACTATAGATGCTTTTGCAAATGATTCTACTATAGCTACAATATCGAGATAATGATATATGAATTTTTGATAATAAATATCAACCACGTATAAGCGAAACTGTTAAGATTCTTTATGATCCAGACAAAGGTTCAGAGGCTATAAGAAGAGGTCTTAAGATGCTTCGAGAAGGTAAGCATGTTGCTTTTGCAATAACATCATGTAAAAAAGCCTGGGCTTTAGCAAACCAAGCTTCTGCATTGCAAAAACCAGATGTTTCACCTATTTTAACTCGTGTTTATTTTGGCCAAATGGACGGAATGCAACGACAAGAGGATTTCACTAATATTAATGCTACCTGGAGTTCTCTCAACTGTGTAATTTACACCAGTACTGTAGAAGCTGGTATCTCTTTTGAAATTCCTAATCATTTTGACGCTATTATAGGGATTAGTAATATTAAAACAGGAGTACATGTCAAAACTTTTACACAGATGCTTTATCGAATTCAGAATTGTCCACAACGCATAATTTCTTTATATAATAGTAAAAATTCCTTCGAAATATTCCAAGAGCCAAATCGTAATCTTATTCGTGCAGGACTTTCTGCTTTAAGGCCTATTGATTTACCTACAGCAGTAAAGGGGCATTGGGAATGGGATAAAATTGCTGATTGTTATGCTCTTGATGCATCTTCAGCAGTTGAAACATATATTGAAGCTGAATATCAGAGACACTTATCAGCTAAGTACTTTTCTGAAATTCTCTGCAGTCTTGTTTCTAGTACAGGAGCTTCACTTAAGATTATTTCTGCAAAAGGTACTATAGCTAATAGGAAAATAGTTTCTAATATTATTAAGGCGATTGAAGAAAATATTAAATGTTCTGATGCAGAATTAATAGTCAATACACCTGATATCATTCCAGATGATGCTGAAATTCTTAAACAAATTTCCACACGATCATTCAATGATAATATGATATTGCAATGATATTATTTGTGGAGAATATATAGGGCCTTTGCAATAGAAAGGGGGGAAACAGCCGGAAAAATCAAAAATGAGTTAATGCTAAATTTAAACATATTTTAGCATAAAAATCATATTTGACATATAAAGTAAAATTAATTTTTCCCGGCAGATTCCTCCCTTTCTATTGCAAAGGCCCCATATGCTTCAGGAGATATTGGAAGTAAGGATGATCATCGGGACTGGAGTATAGATAATGCCAAATGGATTAATCTCTGTAATACTAATTTTGTAAAAAAATTAATAATTTGGAATTTTTACGACATTTTAGAAGACTGGCTTATTTCCGAAGGCAAGGTTCAGATGCAATAAAAGCTTTAGAAGGGCTAAAAACTAAAAGAGTTATACAGTAGAAGGAATTGCACAATTCCTTAGATCCGTCATCAAATGATTTACGAAAGGCATATTTGTCTAAACAGTGGGAGACAATACAAAAACTTTTTCAAATACTAGGCTTTACAGGCATAGATGATGAGCGTATCCTTTCTGGTAGTATGGTATTAGAAGCGTTTATGCAATCATGTGAAAGGTTTATAGAAATTCGAAATCAGTCTTTATTATTGTTCAGGTTTAAGTCTCGTGCAAAAGAAATACCAGACCTTAAATCAGCTATAAAAGCAATCAATGCAATCGCTGGTAATTGGTGTGGCTATACTATTAAAAGTGATAAAAAAAGAATAGGACCTAAAGGGCAACAAGTTTGGCAATATTCATACAAAATTAATCGCTAGTCATATAACGGTACAGCTTTTGGAGATAAAGGTGCTCCAGAGCTTTCACCATATAAGCTAAAAACAGATAACGAGATTCAGGAACTCTTTGATTCTATAAGGCAGGAAAATTAGTACTTCAACCCATATCTGATTTCATTTTATTTTTTTTACCCTCACGATAGGCATTCTTATAAATTCCACCATGTGTGCTACAGATTCCAGTATCAGAATAGGTTTTCTCATCACAGACAGGGCATATTGTTTTAGGACGGGTTTTATAATGTATGGCACATCCTGAAGCACGCCAGCACCCTTTCCCACAAATTGAACCATCTTTCTTGATGTATTGGCAGGATAAACGATCCATATGAGGTAATTTTGATATTAATAATCTTAAAACTTCATCTTCACTTTTATTATAGATATTCAAATTGCTTTGCTTTAGCGTCCGGGATTAAGAAATTTTTCAAATTGAATTTTTTCTCACATAATATAACTAGATAACAGTTACTATTAACATGGCTACCAAAACCCTAAAGACTCGAAAACCTAAAGATCATAACTTTGTATTAGTCTTAGAGCAGTTCCTAAAAAAGCATAATTTGACAGCTGACTCTATCCCAGAACAATTAAGCAAACATGCTCCTGAACTTGATGCTTTGCTTTCTGATTAGATGGTTCGCAGGTGTGTTAAAGTTGCTCTTGCCAGAGGCACTAATAACAGAGGCACTGATAATAAACGCTCATTTAGTAAAGAGCAGATAGAGGCTCTCTTACCAAATAAGAGAAAGGAAAAACTCACTATTGAGGGAAGGGCGGAATACTGTGCTAAGGCCGGTGATTTTGTAGATATTATCGCTAATCATTAGGCAGTAGATCCGAAAAATAAAGATGAAAATGAAATCGTTGCCGGTGTCTCACATCAGTCAACATTTCATGTAAAGTTAGCAGAAGGTGGTGTAGATCCTGCAATTATTGAAGTATTTGCCAAAGACAAGAATCTTATCCAAGATTCTAATAAAATTCAGAAAGAACGAACTAAAAAGCGAATGGCTAATCCGGATAGAATTCCTATATATTTCTCCTTAGAAAATATGAGTAAAAGGATTCAGAACATGGATATTTCCAAAATTCCTACTAGAGAGAATCTTGCAGATGTGATAGTAATGTTGAGTATGAGACCTGCAGAAGTAAGATCTCTTCAGATCAATATCTATGAACCGGATTCTTCAAACATTCCAGCATAATACAAAGATGGCTATTCTTGGTATTGCACAGGTTATTTAAAAAGTAAAGGAAAAAAAAAGAGAATCCTGAACCCCAACCATTTTTTTCTATGGAGAAGAATCCAGAACGTGCCAGGGAATTACTCACCTGGATCTGAGATGCAATTAAGGCTAAAAAGTTACATGATCCTGTCTATACTGATAGTGGAACACGTAATACTTAGCCATTTAATGAATTCTTAAAGCAAGAACCTTATAAAACAATACCTAAAAAATTAAGAGATTATAGAGCTAAACACGCTTCCAGAATCCATGGTGGTAAGAACCCAACTCCCCAGCATCTTAAACTGCTTTTGAGAATCGCATTAAGGCAAGAATCTGACTGTCTTGATGCAGAAAATAATTATGCTATAGGTGATACTGAGTCAGAAGACAATGGTACTGAATCTGAATTTGTTCCCGAGGCAAATGATTCAAAACCCCAAACATCCGCCAGCGCCCTAACCGTCTGGGATTCTCAAAAGTCGAAGATAATAGAAATGGATTCCATGTTAGCTGAAATTGATACAATGTTAGCTGAAATTCGGAAATAAATTTCTCCCTTGTAGTTTGGTATTGCGGGAAATAAGCCGTTTAGGTGAATTTTTTTTGGCAAATTTCAGTGAACATTGTTCGCCCAAAATCACGTGTCTGTTTTAATTTGGAATGCAGATCTTTGATCAAAGGAGGGTGATCGCGTAATTTTATTTTTTGTTTAAAGATACAGTATATAATATTTATAGCACCTTCTAGCGTTATTAATTTACCAAAACTATTAGAACAGATTTTACATTTTTTAGCGATAGATAAATCTGTCTATCCCACTCTATTTGTATCCCGATTGTGGTATAAATGCGGTGCTCCCATTTTATGGAGACGCATCGAGCTAAAGGGAGAGGAAGCAGAGAATCGAACTCGATTAGAAAGGTTTTTAAAAATAGTACCCGGAGGAGGAAGAAAGCCAGTTTATAGCTCGAAACTAACTCATCTTAAAATAACACACTACCGTCCACTTTCAAATAAAAAAATCAAAGGTATTGTACGCACATTCCCGAATATAATTCATTTAGATTTCGAAGGAAGTATGGACTGTACAGGTAAAGTTCTAAAGCTAATAGCGGAATCATATCCAAATTTGGAGTATCTCAATATATCTGCTTTACCCGAAAGCTTTAGATCAGAAAATGATATAGGTTTATCTGCAATCGCACAATCATGCCACAAATTAGAATATCTAAATATTTCTATTCGCAAAGAGTTTTCTGAAATATTAATTTGTAATGTTATTCGTTCTTGCCCAAGGCTCCAACAACTTGATCTTAGCTATTGTAAAATTACTGATATAACTATTGAAGAAATTGCTAGATCATGTCCCAATTTAAAATATCTTAATTTGAGAGGGTGTTATATAATTAGAAAAGAAGCCATAGATCAGCTCATTTCACTTAATCCCAATATCAATATCGTGAATTTCGTGGATACTATAACGCCTCCTGATCTCATTGGAGTGGTTATAAATCATCTTACACAGAACAACGTTGCTAGTAGACAGATTTTAGCTCAGAGCCTTTTAGATCTAAGTATGCGAGATAATTTGCAGTGGTATTCCGATCCAGGGTTGGCTAGATCAATAGTCCGGAGCAATGATAGCCTATATAAAAAACGTAACGCTATGTCAGGTGATAAATGTGAAGAGTCTTCACGGTTAGGGAGGCGCAGTGATTAGGCTATCGTGGCCGATCACACGGCAGGCTGTGAAACAGAATAATTTCTCACATATATCCTGCCTCAGTATTTTTTTCGCAAAATAAAATCTTTTTATTCTTGTCC